AATGTACCAAGAGCTTTAGAAATTATGTCCATGTAAGCTCTTACTTATGGATGTGAAGAGCTCCACATTCATGGCTAAGAGGTTGCAAGCCTCCTTTTCATACTCGACTTATTTTGTCGCTCCTCCAGAACCATGGGTTATCTTTCATAATAAATATCTTTTTCAACCAATTGAGTCAAACAACAAGTAGCCTGATTCCCTAAGTTGATGGATATGTAGGCGGGATCAGTTTTGAAAACTCGGTTGTGTTCCGACATTCGCTCTTAAATCTTATTCTCAAGTATTCCAGTACCTCCATAATTCGATATCAGGATGACTTATGAATACTTTTAGAATCGTGCGTTAAATCAAGCGTATCGAACTACAAGTTACCTGCATTCTCATATAGCTTGAGATATGTAGGAAGCCCATTTTTGGGGTTCGGCCATAATTCAAAAATCCATGTCAAAAACTCATTTTTGAAAGGTGAAGACGTGGTCAGCCAAAATTGGATTTGTCAATTTCATTTTCCTTGAATTTCTTGCATTCATCCAAGTAAAATGAGAGACAGTTGTTGACACCCAATTTTGACCCTCCCCGATAGGAATTAATTCACGAGCTTCTGAATTTTTCAAACGATTTAGAATAATTAACATTATATAATTCAAATTAGTTTCAAGGTTATTTTAAGTAATTTCGGTCGACTTTTATAGCATTTTTGAATAATAAATATATTTCATATAGTTATTTATGTGACTAGTTCATTTTATAAATATTTGAAAATCGTACAAAAGATTTCTACTTTGTTGAAATAAATATTTTTATTAAGTAAGTTTTAGTTTGAAGTATAGTTTTACTTTTTTGAACTAATGAGTTTGTGTTTAAATCAATTATTTTATAGTTAAGTTCATTATTTTATTTCGTTAAGATTAAGAAGTTCATTAGTTAATTTCTATTAATTCGTCTTATTTAATTTTAGCCAAATCACCAATTAAATTCGATTTGATTAATTTCTTAATTCCCATTGGCCATAATTTCAATCCATATGGCCATTTTCTATTATAATTTCAGCCATTTCTTTTTAACTCTTTTAACCCCTTTATGATACCTTAATATTTGGGCCCTTCTCCCATCTTCTTTAGCTTACCCAGACCAATTTTATTCCCCCAGCCCCTTTTTTAACCCCATACCCGACCCAAATCCCTGCTCAAAAGAACCCAGAAGCTGTCCCGCGTTAACACTCCAGAGGCAGCGTCAATTCTCAGCTCAACATCATAGCTGGCAGCAGCTATTCTCGACGTTACAGCAGTGTGAACAACAACGTTCATAAGCTTCAATAGCAACAGTGACGCGTGAACAACTCCAGCAGCTTTCTCTGCAACAACCGCCCACATTGATCTTATCATCGGAATTTAGGGGATTTTGGTTGAAATCTTGTACAAGCAGCAGTTCCTCGGCCCTTGGGAAAAATTTGAATCGAAGATTGGATGGTAATTCCCATTTCTGCCCTAGCCCTATTCCAATTTTTCATCCCCTAAACCCCCCAATTCGACCCCAATACCTCCTCTATAAAAAGCTTGTGTTCCTCCTCAGTGAAAGATGGAGGAGACCAAAAAGAAAAAAAAGAACATATTTTTTATTAGATCACCTAATTTCACCTCGAAAAATATAGATATCTTGGATATTAAGAACGACTCAAATAGCTTCATTGGAATCGAGGCTTTTGGTTTCGGGAACTCGGAGGATTCTCCAACAAAACTTTGTTGCGGTAGTGGGGGTTGCTTCATAATAAAGCTCGTCGTTTCTAGTTCGTTGCCCTAAGAAAGGTAACCTTAGTTTCCCTTGTATTCTGATCATATGATGTATATTTGGAAATCTAGTATGAATCACACTTTTAAGTATTTGGTTCATCTTTCAGTGTTCTCTTAATTATCTCATGTTCATGGTAAAAACTTACTTTAGCTTTTGTTTGGGTTAAAATCGTTTCACCACTGCTAGTTTAAAGTTTGACACTTTGGATTTCCATCTGTCTTCGCTCCTGTTTTGATCTTGTTAACTAGGTGTTGATTGCCTATATAAATGAGCTGTGTATGTGGTTGTATGGATTTAGCGATTAAGTCCTTAATATCGTTTATATATGGCTTACCAGATTATTTACAAAATGCATAAATGTTCTGTCTGGCTCACTACTTTGTTATAGGCTATTTGCTTGATGTTTTCTCTTAGTTTAAACTCATTCCGACTGTGAGCATGCTTATTTTAAAAATATCATTCCAACTTAATCTTTGGAGATAGTCCTCTTAATTTGTAGGCATTTTAAACTGTCCACTGGTCTAAGTTTTTGTGTATCTAGTGTTTGTTCCATCTGACCATCTTGCTTTGATATCGACATGAATTTAATGTCGTAAAGGTCGATTCATGAAGGTTCAACCTCTCTAAAGAGATCAGTTGTATGATTAGGATACTTTAATGTGTGACATCGTTTGTCCTCTCGACAAGTGATGCCTATGTTTGTTCTCTGAGCTATTTAAATATGCATTGTTGAGGAGAGGTGTATATTCAGTGTTTTATCTTATTATTATTATGTTTTGATCTTGTATGTCACGATCTCTTTAATTTCCAATCAATGTTTTGTTGGTCGGTTTGCGTTAGTGTCGCCTTAAGCCAACTAGTACTTATTCTGAAAATAAGCTCCTATTTTGGCATCACTCTTTGATCACTGATCCCTCTCTTGTTGTATAAATACATTCTCTTGCTATTGATTATTATGTTAAGTGTGAAGGTCAGTTGGTTGTCTCAAGTCTTGATTTAACCTAGCTTAACTTGTTTATTTAAAATCCTCACCATTTAAATGGTTATGTGATCAAATTATGCTATGTTCATATTTTGGTGCAACTAGTTTGCACTTTGAGTGCTGTAATTTTCAGATTTTAGTCATGAATACATAGCTTCACTGGTAGAATTCCTATATCAATGACCCTCTTATACAAAACATATAATTTTAGGTTCAAAGTTTAACTGGGTCCCTTGAATGTAACTTAATTCTTCTCTGATTCTAGTGATTAAATGTTGACAACAACTTGTTATACAAAGGTAATTGCTTGAAGTTCTCTTTATCTGTAAATCAAAGAATTTGGTCCAAGCTCATTTACCCTCTTTTGGTCATTGAATTAGTAGAATACATTTTGTGATGCCTAAACTTGCTTAACATGGGTCTATTGGCGTGAATGTATTTGTAGTAGGAAATGGTTCAAGATTTATTGTTTAGTTTTAATGAGGTTACCTTGAATGGATTTAGCTAGTATGTAAAAAAAAAAAAAAAAAATCATCCTTGAGCACTAAAGTTTTTGTAGATGTTTTATTTAGTTATTCATCCTTAAGCATACATAGCTACTTTAGCGTGTCCAATTTTGATTAGTTACTAATTCTTATTTCTTATTTTTTATGCATAACCTCGATTTGGGTTCATCGGACCCTCTTCTTCGCTCCTTGCATCTCGAGTTGGGTTGAAACCCAACATCCCTATTTATCGAGTTAGCCCCCTATATATTCAGAAGCTGCTACAGGTCCCGTAGACCCAACACTGCTGAAAATTAGTTCATAAATGGTCAAAAGTCCTAAGATGGACTATATACATTCATTATACACTGTATACATTCAGTATACATCAATATACAGGTCAAAAATACAGGAATACAGGGCTGATGCGAAATACATGTGTTTGGAAGCAAGATATACATGAAAAGGGCTGATATACATGCCGATATGCACTGATATACATCAAGTGTATACAAAAAGGGGATTGGTTTAAAGACCAAAATTCCAGTGAAATTGGCCCAAAGGAGGCCCAAATTCATTTCCTCCTTATTCTTTAATTATTTAATTACGATTATTTATTATTTGTTGTTTAACTCTAACTTTATAATTTTTAATTAACTTAATTAGATTTCCCAAAAGATAAGTTATTTTCTTTGTGTTGGTTAACTTTTAATATTTATTTTATTTTATTAATCAAATATGTTGATCAAATTATTTCTTTTATTCTTAAGGTATATGTTTTAACGCCTCTTCACTTATTCATATTATACTCATTCTAAAATTATTATGTTTAGTTAAAATATTTTCTTAAATAAACTTTAAAAATGTTAGTCAAAACTTTTCCAATTAAATTAAAAAAAAATAATATATAAAATATATACTTAGTCTTTTCCTCAAAAAGGTTAGTCAATTAATTAAAAAATGATTTTTATGCCATTATTTATTAAATTGGTTTAAATTATTATTTCAAAGTGAATAAAATAAATTTTAATTAATCTTGTTTTATTAATATTGTAATCACTTGTATTTCGAGTCAATTGTTCCATTTTGAATCCTTTTCTCTAAACAAATCAAAATAAAATGTGTCATTTATTTAATTATTTTCTCAAAGTTAATCAAATATTGTAAGTTTTTTGTTATGTTAAATCATTATTTTCCCTAAAATAGTCAAATATATTTTAGTCAAGTCGCAGGTCAACCGCTTGTTGGCGGGCACTTCGAATGCTTAAACCCTTCTCGAAGTGTAAATTGAACCCCGAATCCCCTTTGGTATTTTCAAAAGATTTTTTCTGTTTAAATCTTTGAAAATTATAAGTTTTCTTAATTTCTTAAAAAAATTAAGTGGCGACTCTTTTCTAAGTATTTTCTCAAATTGTTTTATACTTAGAACATTTTAAAAAGTGATTTTTCTAAAGGTTAGAAAAATTACGACACAACAGTAGATGCATTTGTTGTTGCTGGTGGTGATTAAATGGGAGTATGGGAGGAGACTCCCAAAAGCTGAAATTTGAAATCTTTTACTAAGACGACAGTGCCCATTGCGTTGCGTCATAATGGTTCAAATGATAATATGATTGCAAGCGTAATTGAGACCGGTGAGTTAACTTGCGACCCAAATGACTTGGTGATTAGCTATCAAATGAATGGGAGGGGAAAAATACATTCCACATTCATAAAAAAATTATAGGCACGTGAGCTTGTACATGTTAGATATTGGTATTGATGGCTCTAGGCCTATATTGAGGATAAACGTCAATGCGAGGCCTCCAATTGAACCAACAAATTCATATAACGACGACAATAATTTCATTGGAAATGAAAGATTGGGTGATCATTCAAAGGAGAGCTTGGGTGATAATTCAAATAAGAGCTTGAGTGATCATTCAGTGAATATGCATGATGATCCACTTAATATGGAAAATCAGCCAGTAGATGTGAAAGATCCCGAACCCGAATATTGTGAAGAAATGCAGGAAGAACAGTAATTGGGATCACAATCCAACCATTCCTTCTCCTATGGAACTAATTTATGCATAAATCATACTTTCAGTAACAAGAATAAGTTGCAATTGTTATTAGCCGAAGCGGCAACAAAGAAATCTTTTGATTTTGCTACTGTAAAGAGTTGTACTAAATACTTAAAGGTGAAATGTGTATCTCACAACTATGCATGAATGTTGCGGGCGAGGAAATATGAGTGTTCGGATGGATTTCGTATCTACAAGTACATTGGCAAACATAGTTGTCGTGTTGAACATTCCAACAGTAGCCATAGAAAAATTTCAATCAAAGTCACTGCTCCACTTTGTGTAAATATGTATTGTTATGGCAAGGGTCCAAGTGTTAAAAAGATTCAAAGAGCTATGTTTAATTATTTTCGTTGTAGTCCAAGCTATTGGAAACATCAGAAAGGAGGTGTGGTTGCCAAAGAAATGGTCTGAGAGACAGTGGAGAACAGATATTCATGCTTAATGAATTTTTCCTACATGTTCGAGACTCTTAATGTTGATTCTAGCTATAATATCATGGTAAACAAGGATAGTCATAGGTTTATGTATTATTTCTTGGCCTTCGATGCTTGCATTAGGGGATTCGCCCACATGAGAAAGGTAATTGCAGTCGATGACACTCATTTACATGGTAAATATGGGGGAGTGTTATTGAGCGTTGTTGCACAAGATACGAAGAATCATGTTTATCCAGTTGTCTTTTGTGTTGTGGACAAAGAAAATGATGGATCTTGGATATTCTTCTTTGAAAGGTTGAAGGAGATTATGGTCGATGAACCAGAATTGTGCTTTATCTCTGATAGACACAAGAGCATCCCCAACAGTATTGTTAACGTTTACAATCATGCTCACCATGGATATTGTATGAGGCACACCTTGGTGAAAATCTCCGCGTAAATCATCATTGTGGAGATTCCCTCTATCTTTACTATAATGCGGCAACGACTTATTCTTTGGAGGAGTTTAACAATCATTTTGTAGAATTCAAGAACAAATTCCCCACGGAAGTCGTCATCCCTGAGCATGATATTGGTTTTGAGAAGAGGAGCATGAGATGTTTCCCTGGTAATGGATATGATGTGATGACCACAAATATCGCTGAGTCACTCAATGTTATGTTGATAGACGAAAGAGAGTATCCTGTGGCATATATATTTAATTCGATTGCTAAGAGGTTTGGAGAATTTTTTAGGGAGAGGCATGCATATATCCTCAAATCAATAGGTAATCAAATGGTGACGCCTACCGAAAAAATCACAAGAAAAAAAATGATCGAGGCCGACTCTTTGTATATGGAGAACGTAACCGAGGATGGCAATTAATTTACTCTGTTCTGTGTAGATGTTACAATCAATGTAAACCTACTGGAAAAGTCATGTTCTTGTAGTGAATATGACTTGATCAAGATAACTTGTGCTCACGCGATGGCCGCTTTGCGATCGAAGCATGGCAATGAGTATGGTATGAGCATCTATCTGTACTCTTTGACTTTGTATAAAGTTGAAGCATACCTTCTTGCATACATGGATTCTATTAATGTTGTCCCTCTCAAGTCGCAATGGTGTGTGCCAGAAGAATTGCTTAATGTGAATATTTTTCTACCTCTTGTCGATATCAAGCTTGGAATAAAAAGAAGAAAACGTGTCAAAGGCATTGGTGAGAATTTCAAGAGCAAGAGAAGGAACAAATGTTCAATTTGTAAGAGAACCAGACACAAGAGAACTACATGTGTGAACAACAAATCTTAAACAAACTTGATTAAATTTGTTTTTGTAATCAAGCTACTGTTTTTTTTTTTTGGATGCTAGCATTTTGGTCAATTTAGTGTCAGCTATTATCGTAATTACTCATGATCTAATATAGATCAATCAAAAGATGACATACATTTTGTACACTATCTATTAATGTTTATTATCGAGTTCACTCATTCTCTATTAAGTTGTCTTATTAATATATGAAAATTCATGGTATTCGTGATGCATTGATTTTAATGCATGAATTAGAATGATTAAAGAAGGAAGTGCTCAAAAAAATTTGTCATGAGCTCAAGTTGTGTATTTTAATGCATGTGTATTATTATTATATGCATGCTTTTTTAATGCTCCAAATCAAACTATCCATAAGAAATAATCTAAGTATAACCAACTCAAAAATGACTAATACAAACACTATTTGAAAATACACTATACCAAACTACCCCTTAAAGAATTATCAAAAAATCAGATGTTACTGTTGAAAAAGTAGCAATTTGAACTTTTATTACCGTTGTAAAATTTGTATATTGAAATATTTACTGATTGTCAAAATATATAGACCCCTTATACAATCGATGCATCTCTATGTGTGCGATGTATGTATGATCAATGAAATTTACACTTTGACATTAGTAAGGTATATTCGGATTTATATCTATGTTGAAGCATTATCAATACTGCACCTACTAGAATATGACACTTATATATAGACCAAAACTACTAGAATTTAAAAAAGACAATAATTTAATTAATAATAAATTATATCTTTGAAATTTATCTAATTAAATAAGTTTAAACAAGTCATATGATCATGTAAGGGTCCACATAAATTGAGTATGTTGATTAGAGATGTACGAGGAAGAGTTGTGGTTCTACAATCAACATCCTTAGAACAATGTTTGAGGAAGTATAAGTACGTTGTAAGGATTTTACTTGTTCAACCACATCCTTAGAACATAAGCATATAATCATGTATGAGTCTACATAAATTGGGGGTGGCAATCAACAATGTGTGGTTGAACAAGTGATATCCTCACAACATACTTATACTTTCTCAAACATTGTTCTAAGGATGTTGATTGTACAACCACAACTCTTCCTCGTACATCTCTAATCACCACACCCTATTTATGTGGACCCTTAAATGATCATATGACTTGTTTAAACTTATTTAATTAGATAAATTCAAAAATATAATTTATTAATAATTAATTATTGTCTTTTTTAAATTCTACTAGTTTTGCTCTAAATGTAAGTGTCATATTCTAGTAGGTGCAGTATCGATAATGCTTTAACATAAATATAAACTCGAATATATCTTACTAATGTCAGAGTGTAAATCTCATTGGTCATACATACTTCACACACATATAAATGCAATTGTATAAGGGTCTATATATTTTAATAGCTAGTAAAATTTCAATATACAAATTTTACAATGGTAATAAAAATTCAAATAGCTACTTTTCAACGGTAATATTTAATTATTTTTTTGTATAAAAGGAAGACAATCACTCATAAACAACTCAAACACTTCCATTTTTACAATGTCTCAATCATCTCAAACATCCAATGCAATTTTTTTTTTACAATTGTCATTGTGGTAATTCAGCTACGTTGAAGAATCGCACACCGATACAAATCTTGGTCGACAACTCTTTAATTGTGCAGTTAGCATATGCTCTTTTTTTAGGTGGCTTGAAAATGAATCATCAACGAGTAGCCCATCAAATTTTCAAGGCGTTGCCAAATTTGAAATATTAAAAAGGCTACGAAAATCCGAAGAACATAGAGATCTGTTAATGACTTTCTTAAAAGAAGCCGAAGAGTAGAGGAATCACTTGAAAGTGTTGATAAAAGATGCTGAAAAGATAGAGATCAACTAAAAGAAAGGTTGATTTTGGCAAAAGAAAAAGAAAAACGCCTAAAAACTATATTGTGTGGTGTATTTTTTGTGTTTGCTTTTTGAAAATGTGTAACAGAAATGTAGTGTTGAATAAATAAAGTATTTCTCTCCATTTATTGCTCTCTTATATCTTTTATTTTTGATCGATAATGTTATAGATTAACTGTGATAGAAATCTATAGTATTAGACATACAACTTTATTGTCGATAATTGACTACTAAATAATTTTATTCTATAATGGTAAGAAATTGAAGTTAAGCAAAATCACATACTATTAAAACATAGACTAATAAGAAATCTAAAAACCATTCATAATAAAACATGTTAAACTATCAGATGTACATTTTTCCCATCAATATAGCAAAACAACAAAATACTTTAACAATTTTCTTAAAACCCAATTATTTCAAAAACTAATTGTCTTAAAAAATCAACTATCTCAAAAACCAATTGTCTTAAAAACTAGGGAAAAAACCAACTATCACAAAAATTAATTGTCTTCAAAAATCAACTATTTCAAAAACTGTTTTAAAACACCAATAACCACAAATGTCTTACTCATCACCATCAACCTCACCATTAAGCTCCATGACAATACCCATCACACCCACTTCTTTTTCCTCTTCTGCCACATCAGTGGCCAAGCCTTCTTCTTCCAACTTTTCATCTTCTTCATTTTCTGTTATCTTCTCTTGTTGTTCTTTCTCTTCTTCTCCACTTGCTATGTGTTCCTCTTCATTTTCTTCTTTTTTAATTCTCTTCCAGATTCTCCTCTTCACTTTCTTCTTCTTTCTTTTCTTCTAGCTTCTCCTCTTCTTTTTCTTCATCATTCTCTTCTAGCTTCTCCTCTTCCCATCTTGTTCTTTCTCTTGTTCTTTCATCTCCTCTTCCTTCATTTCTTCTACAACTTCATCAACTTCTTCTATAAAGTATTAATCAACTGCAACAAGATCATCATCGACTATAGCTAATGGAAGGATCTCATCGACTATTAGTGCTGGAAAGTTTTCATCATCTGCTGCAAGATCATGGGATAAGAATTCATACAAATAAATTATTTTATTGAAATAATATATAAATTTATCTACCTTTATTTTTCTTGTTCTTTGAAGTTCTTCTTAATTTCTCCTCTCGTACATAAGCAACAATTTTCACCATTAGTTGCTCGAGGGATACAACACGCTCACACAAAATTTCATCCTTAGAAGTACTTGGTATATTTTTCTATCCACTCGAAACAGAATTCTCACAAGGTTGATTATGATTGTCATCACTTAAATACCCATCCTCCACATTCTCTACTGCTGAAGTGAGGAAATCACGCCTTTCAAATTTGCCTTTAAGGCATCGAGGACTGTATCCTTCACTTTGTTCATATATGGCTTTAATGTTGCCAAGTAATTCTTTTTATCTCACGGACAGTAGGTATGAGGTATGGGTGCACAATCTACAAAATATATATATATACAAATATTACATGACATTCACCAATTTATAAATATTGCTAAATAATAATAAATATATTTATACCTTTGTACTTAAGTGGATCACCTTCGATAATACTATCATTTTTTGCGGTGTGCCATCTAAGTAAATGGGGAATGAATAGAGGAAAATCCAAGGACTTCTTGACATACTTTCCAAGATGAGGAAAAACCTCATATATCCAAACCTGAAATTAATAGAAGATCAAATAAATAAAGAGAGGCTATAAAATACTACACAGATATATAAGAACTTATCATAAATCAACTACATAATTGATAAGAAGTGCCAGAAATGCCCAGGGAAAGCCATACAGTGCATACAATGTATTTCCTCTTTCATTATACACTTCACTTTGCTTCTCAAATTGTCTTTATTCTTCAGATACGTCAATGTTAAATTAAAACTCTCTTCCCTCCACGGATAACTATTGAAGAAATCTAAATCATCCGCCATCTTAATATGGCTTGAATCCACAATGTTAGATCGATCATGGGAAAGCAAAATCGTGTGGACGAACAAAACCAAAGAGCACTTCAATTTCTGCTCCTTATTCAACTTGGCACCCTTGATCAAACGCATCAACTTTGTAGCAGTGATGTTCTTATTCTTGGTCACCTTGTAATAAAATTTCTCACCCTTTTCAAGAACTTTTTTCAGTTTTGAATCAGGGGGGTATACTAAGCAATTCAGTCCCGTAATCAATGAAAATTCTCTTAAGCCAAAACAAGCAGGCTTATCATTCACACAGAATCAAATTTCATGTAAGTTTTTAGTCATTTTTCACACATCGCAACAATATATAATGGATCATATGTCCATTGAACTTGAAATGTTCTGAAATATGCCTCAAGTGTCTAAAACAAGTACCTTTAAAGTCTTCATAAATTTTTCCTTGAACTAGAAGATATCTAAAATCACAATAAACAACCATCCTTGCTCTTACAGAAATTGTTGCTGGAAAAGATCATATCTCATCCATCCATGTCTTTAAATCAAACGACTTATCAGAAATGTCTCTTGCACAAATTGGCAAAGTTAGGGGATCTTCACCCTTATCACCAGTTTGAGTATCTCTACTACTCTCCTCATCTTCACTATCACTTTTTTCATCACTAGAATCAACATCATCACTAGACTGGGCACTACTGTCCTTGTAATTGTCAATCTCGGTCATTGTATCAGAATTTGAGCTTGACTCATGTTCTTCCACAACAATTTTTTTTCTTTTTTGAAGCTTTGGAAACTTCTTAAGCCTTTATTTTCTTATTTTTAGAAGCATTAGGAACAAATCGTTTGATGATGCCGCCTCTAGTTTTAGCCATAATGTACTATATACAAGCAAAAACAAATTTGTCATATCAAAATATCGACCACTAGTCTATTAACACAATCAAAGCTTATAGTAAAAACACATGCAAAAGAAGTAGCAGTTCAAACAAAAATCGATAATGTCATTGGCATAAACACCATTAAAATCGATCAATGTCATTGACATAAACACCATTAAAAATTTCAAATTGCTAACATAAAATTTTCAAACAATTTCTATGCATTATCCAAATCAAAACGTCATTAACAATGCAGAATCAAAAACATGAA